AGGGAATCCCCTCCTTCCCTCCAGAAGGAATCCCCTGCTTCCCAGCTTGAGGAGACATCCTGTGGGCACCAGAAGCCCCCGGGGGGGTTCGGCGCCCGCTTTCCAGCCGTGATGCCGGATTGGCGCCGGCAGCTCCGGAGCGGGCCGGCCCGGTGACGCTGCGGGGGAACCTCCCCGCGAGGGCCCTGCTGCGATGGGCCGAGGCCACGGCGGCGGCCGGGCCCGCACTCCGCGTTATCCCTCGGGAAGCGCCCGCCGGGCCCCGCGGACGCTGCGCCCCACGCGCCTCGGGGATCCGGGCCCGAAGGAGCCGCTTTCCCCGCTCGAGGAGCCGGGATCTCAACACACCCCCCGCGGAGGGGCAGGGAACCCGCGGCACGAATGCCTGGCACGGAGGGATTTTTCCGGGGCTGCTTCCCGCGGAGCAGCAAGTGCACGGGCACATTAACGCTTTTCAGTATGGTTTTCACTACTGCTTTTCACCTTCATGCGGGGAACAAAAGCTTAGGAGGTGGCACGGGGACACGGGGACACAGGGACGGGGGGACACAGGGAAATGGGGATAGGGGGGTGGGGGACATGGGAACAGAGGGACATGGGGACAGGGGGACAGGGGAACACAGGGACACCCGGACATGGGGACACAGGGACACTGGGAATGGGGGACATGGGGACACGGGGACCGGGAGACACGGGGATGGGGGGGCGGGGGACATGGGAACAGAGGGATATGGGGACAGGGGGACACAGGGACATGGGAACACAGGGACACGGGGACAGGGGGACATGAAGACACAGGGACAGGGGGAATGGGGGACACGGGGACAGCGGGACACAGGGACAGGGGGACATGGAGACAGGGGGATGGGGACAGGGGGACATGGGCACATGAGGACACAGGGACAGGGGGAATGGGGGACACAGGGAATGGGGGACACGGGGACAGGGGGAATGGGGGACACGGGGATAGGGGGACAGGGGACACAGGGACATGGGCAATGGGGGACACGGGGACAGGGGGACACAGGGACACCCGGACATGGGGACACAGGGACACTGGGAATGGGGGACATGGGGACACGGGGACCGGGGCACACGGGGACAGGCCGTGGGGTCTCCCGGCCGGCCGGTCTCACCCCGGCCCCGCAAGCACACGCGTGTGTTACCTATAGCATTCTATCCACGAACCGCGGCCTCGCGGACACGTGCGCCTCGTGGCCGCGGCTCGGGCGGCACCGGAGGCCCGGCAGGGCCCGGCGGGCGGCGGGAGCGGCGCGGAGCTGCCGTCCCCGCGCGGAGCGGCCCCCG